AAAACTTATCTTCGATTTGCATAACGACGAAGACGATATGCGACAGCAAGACCCAAAAGATAAAGAGCGTCTGGTAATTCCTTGTCAAAGATTTTCAAGCCGAACTTGGCACCAAAAAAATATGATTCGATTTACTTAGTGATTTCAGCTAAGACTTTGCTTGATTCTTTCTCAACATAAAATCGAGTAACAGGTACTAATGCATTGGATACCATCAAAAAACGACAGTCATTCCATTCAATTGTTAATTTATTATCTAAAACTTTCAATTATCGAATAATCGTTCCATTGGTTCATATCTGAGATTGATTATCGAAAATGTCAAGCTCGGATTTGTAAAACCTCATCCAACAGTTCTGTTTGATTGTGTCTAACACTTGTTTCGATTGGTACGCAATAAGCTCGATCGAATGTAGATGTGATAGAAGAAACTCTATTCGATAATGAAGAATTCTGTCTGTCGGATCGTAAACAGAAAATTCACTCAATGTGAATAATGTAAAATAATTCTTCTGACAGTAATATATTTTTTTTTCAGTTCTTTAGCAAAGGATAAGTTGAACGATCAAAAACAGTTCCAACAGTGCCTTCATGTTTGCACTGGAGAAAAATGACATTAGCAATCGAATGAAATTCGTATAATACAATGTTTTACCTCGACGATGTTGTTATTGTATATCGTGTTGTTTACATTCTATATAATCGTCAATGCTGTCCATATCTATTAGTGTGCAAGGAAAGAGCAAGCATTTGATTGATTGACATTTTCGATGCAACGAGACAATAATAACATTATACAGTCAATAAATATTGGTCTAAACTAATTGAGAAACTATTTAGCTTATTTTTCTTCGATAATTTTGCAAACAAAGTGTTGAGTTCTTCTTCAAAATTTCATTTTAGAATACTTAATTTTCTTTATATCTGATGTGAATTTTCTTTGACTTAGGCGCTTAACCAATCATATCATATCTGTGAATACAGAAGCAGTCATGGTAATCGCTACTTATGAATGTATTTTCAGAATTGGAGATCTTTGACACGATCAAAAATAACTTATACTTCTCATAAAAAGAGAAGTAGAATAGAACCAATATATTCTCACGAGAACATATCGATATAGTTTGTAAAAGTGCACAACATACAGAGTAGAAACTTTATACTGAAGAACAATTAGTTTTCTTTTTTGCAAGAGAACATGAAAATTACCAATGAACTCGATCGAGAGAAAGCATGCTCTATTCGGTTCCAGTTTTCGATACGTGTGGAACAAACATAAATTGCAAAATACATTGTACTGATTTCAGAAGAAAAAACAGGGTTTGTCTTTTTAGTATTAAGTCTTAATATGTATCAAAAAAACTATTCCAACTATCTTTAGGTTCAAAAATAACCTATTTTTTGTGAATAAATGAAGAAAAAACTGTAAGAATAGTAGTTCAACTCTGATTTAAACCATTGCTTTTCTTTCTGGCCAATATCTTAACAACATCAATTAAAATTGAACACCTTTGCGTATTTTTTATACTTAATAATTCTCAAAATAACTTACTCTTGATTTTTTGAGACAAACCAATTGAAAGCAAGTTATTTTTATCATCTGAGCAAGTGTGCTAAAGTAGAAACACGAAAGTCTTGCTCTAGTTTTCTGTTGGATCTGAAATTAAATAAATTTTTCATAAAGTGTGTTTTACTTTTTGCAACAGCTGAATACTGGATACACATGAATATTGCTCTTCAGGAATCCCATTATTATCTTCCATAATAAGCCTATGATACACTATTAGACTAGATTCTGAAAATCAGTATTGGTTATGAATCGTCATATATTCAAAACATTCTAGCTAACGACGAATTTACCATAAGATTTTTCCTCATAAAAGGAAGCCTTCATCCATTGATTAATCGAATTGATCCTCTAATTATCAAATTGAATAGAGCGAAAACATCGAACTATTTTCGAATCTTTTACAAGATCTCTTACCTACTTAATATGTATCATGAATCAGTAGTGCTACAATTAATTAAAGGTGAGACTGTCTCAAACGAAAATAGACCGACCAATCCGTTAGTCTCAACTGTTGCCTTTTAGCGATCGATACTTTCTCGAAACAGTTTGAAGTTTAAGTAGGGTGTTTCATAACTTAATAATTAAATGGATGTACAGTTAATGTTGCCGATGCATTTTATCATATTAATTAAAATATTGATGCTCATTAGAGTCCTGCATAAGAATTTTAGACATCAAATAATTAAAAAAGAACTTAAATAGACGTTAGAAAGAAATAATAATTAAACAAGAGATGTGAAATGATACAAGCAAATTGCATGCAGAGGACGTCGCAGCGATTTTCGGTAGCGGTTGAGAGTACTCTCCACACTCTCAGCAATTCACATCTACACATAACACACACCCCACGTCCTCAAATAGCAATGAAATAACCATGAAAGTATAGAAACAAAAAATAGATAATTGATCGTCAGTTTTATATTAATGCACTTCCTTAGCCATACCATCTTTGAGCTTGAATTATCATAAGAAATGGAGCAAATAATTTACATTGCAGAAATATGATTGATTCGTGCATCCTGTTCCTTAGTATTCACCACATATTTAAATCATTGATAGTTTGCAAAAAAATGCATTGCAATTTCGTTGTTCATACCTAAATAGCACGTGCATTTGAAAAAAAAAACAATATCCTATGGTAGTCATAAGATCTTGTGAAAGCAACCTGGAATCTTAATGTTGTCGTGATAAATTATATAGGAAAAACTTTTATATTATCAACTACTTTATCCAAGAGAAAAGACAATTTCTTTCTCTAAACCGTTAGCAACATAAGAATCTGCTTGTGGAAAGCATAGCCAACTTGATAAAAAGAAAAGCTTAGAATATCTCAAAATTTGTTCTCCCTTGCTATTTAAAACAGTCTTTGCAGTAACATACAAAAATTAAGTAGTATATCAAACTATTGCCTAATATTGATATTTTATTCTAGAATATCGACATTTCATAGTATTTTCAACGCCACATATACATTGACATACATTTTTGATTATTCGTTTTTAATAGAAGGCAATCTTTGACAAGATAATGCTACTTTACCAAACACTACTCTCGATGCTGTAATATTCTTTCAAAATTTGCTAAGAACAACTCTAACCATCTGCTTAGAATCTCTTCGTATAAAGTCTACATTCTGAATCGAGGCATGCTTTACTGTCTTCAATTATCATGGCAAACGAGACGAACAGCTTTTATAATTATTACAGTAGCTTCATTATATTTCGATTTTCTAAAGGCACTATAGTAAAAGTTATTTTCTTCATCGTTTGAATCAATAAAGACTTTAGATCGGATCATTGAACAACTAGATAACAAAATGTGAATACCTAGTTGATCAAGATGGTGACTTAATTGACAGATGTTTATCATCTAGACATTCTCTTATGAAAATTTTAAAAAAACCGATTACTTTTATTTCACATGTCGATATTCTGTAAGCAAAAAAGTGAAATTCTTCATAGAATTATTGTCCAAGAGTAAATATCATGGATTTATGACAATGGCACTGTTGTTTCATGTATGTTTTTTCTCCACTTTACATGTATTATATAGCGTACATATTAGAATTGTCTAGAGTATTATTTTGTTCCATATAGAACACTGCAAGCTGAAATAATCGTACAAATCAGTGAATCCGAGTTATCGAGTGATTTAGAAAAAATGGAAAAATATATGTTGAAATTGTTTTAAGCAAATATCAACTCTAAAGGTCGATTGGTTTTTACGAAGACTTACTTATCGCAAGAAAAGATCATCAGCTACGTACTCCATAGTGTAAATGCGATTTTTTCAACCTGCTCAACTTTGAAGATGTAGGAAAAAAATTAAGAATATGATTTTTGCTTGTTAGATGACGTTACGAGGTACTAAATATATTTTTGATAAATTAATTGATATATTCAGACAAAGCACCAATTGTAGATATTGTGTGACACAAAATTAAGCTAAAATCTACAGATGAGATTACAAAAAACAATAACTTCATGAATGTGTGGATTGATTTTGATGCTGTATAAGTTTTTTTCGATATTATTTTCCGTAAATGACTCAAAGTAGTATATGTCAAATAGCCGCAAAGAACGAACAAAACAGTAGTTATTTCTGAAGAAAAAACGCTGCTATATAAAGTTGAGGTCAATGGAAATTATACCCTTTGATTTTTGTTTTGTTTTTTATTACTATACGGTTTAATCTATTAACTTACTATGTGTAGGAAGAAAGCCCAGAACGCGCTGCATCTTTTAGTTTATTTACGTTTGTAAGCGACTTCTCGCTTCTCTTGAGTGATATGTCGTTTAGATACCATTTATCTCCATTCCATTCCAAAAAGATTTAAATATTTAGGAGTGTATATTTCTACCAAATTAGGATGGGATACATACATCAATGAGCGTCTGCGTACTATAAGTAAAATTTATAACGGTATGAAGATAGCTTTTACAACGATTAAAATGAGAGATATCAAAATACGACGAAGAATTTNACTTGTTTGCAGGCATTCTCCCTCAAAGTGGCTTATAATCCTTACAGCTTGACTTGAAATTATTACCAAAAGTATCACCACATTTTTCTGAATAGGCTGGGCAGTAAAGTGACTGAAAATATTATATGGGCCAAATCGGCTTCTTATGCGCCCCTGTCCTTTATTTTTAACTATATCCGAAACTAATATGAGATTGGTTTTTTGTCTTTGAATAAAGTTCTATAGAGTATGCAATAAATGAATCTATTTAAACTTTTGTTGCTCGAATGCAAAATCTTACAATCAAGAGATTTTGATCTTAAGCATCAACAAATACTTGAAATAGTAAATATAAGTGCAGGATATTTTAATAAATGATTCGCAGATGACTGCATGTGAAAGAAAAAAATATTCTGAATAATGTTTACTATTAAAATTATGATGAAAGTTTTGCTTTGTAAACAAAAACTATCTTAAATTATTTCTTACCTGATAAATCACATAATATTTAAGTGCAAATGATGATAAATATAATATATTCATACATGAATCAACAATATTATTCCATGAAAGAAAATAATCTTGAAGACCATCATTATATGCTTGTTTAATTTCATGCCAAAGAAAACCTAAAAATATATTATAAAATTTTATTTTATGTTTTTGGTTTTTGTTTTTTCTATTTTATAATCATTTACCAACAACAAAAACTGAAATTGTTATATCAATCCATGTTGGTTTATGAGCTCGAAAGACGAGATCATCGTTTGGATATATATCACAATCTCCTCCTGTAGCAGACAAATCTTTTGCATTTGTTAGTGATTGATTCAATGCAAATGATATATTTTTATAATGGCTTAAGTGTGTTGATTGTTTTTTTAATTCACTAGCAAATAAAAGACTTGAAACAATAATTAAAACAATAAATATTGCATATGATATTATATGACCAATAAATTTTATACATGGTTGTTGAAGAAATCGTTGAAGCTATAAATAAAATTGAAAGATATTTTATATAAAATAATTATCATCATACTTTGTTGGTGTAATTTGACCATGAAGTTAAGATATAAATTACACAGGCAAATGGTAAAATAAATATATATAAAATAATTAATAATAGAATAAGTAAAGGATTTAATTTGAATAAATTACGTATTTGACTATGCCAGATTTCAACTAATTTTTGTTGACAATTTGAATGAGCAACGAACTAAAAGACATTAAAATATTTAATAGTTTTTCGAAATTATTCGTTCAATAAAAAGAAGATGAATACATTCTATAATTAGCGGGTCTTCATTCTTGAAATAACCTTAGATCACGTGGAAAATTGACTTTCGACTTCAAACTTTTCACGAATAAAGTTCTCCATGAGATTAGGTCATTGGACAAGTTGTACATTTTTCTAGGATTTTCTATCTTTAGATATTTAATATATGAAATTCTCTCAAGTGTAAAAGCAAATTTTGTTCGTATATTTACATAGCCAGAATGAAAATACTAGTAGTACAATCAACTAATCTCATTAAGACCTTTGTTCGTACAAACTTTGACGACGAAACTCGAAAATTAATTTCATACGTGACCTGAGAGGGAAGAAAAATTCAGTAAAATTTCGATATCTCAAGAACAAAAACATCTAGAAAACTAAATCATTCTAGAATTTGCAATTGCTCGCTAGCACTTATCAAATCTCGTGTCGGTCGAATAAGCGATTTGATACGTGGACAGTTTGCCTCTTCAGTTACTTTATAACGTCATTATGTATCAGTGGACTATGTAAAGAAAATTTTTATTTGTGCGATCATTAAATAATAGAAATAATTTTAATATCGATTACAATTTATCTAAAACATCCTATATTAAAAATTCTTATAGGAAAAAATAAATTGTTTTTTAATTTTTGTCGATCTATGATTTTTAATGTGGTTCCAGTGTTTTTAATTGTTTTTAGAAAGCTTAGAAAATTCCTTCATTTGACGTAGCAATACATGACTGATTTTTGTACTTTCATAAGTTAAGATACTGGAATGTTTCGATTAAGATCTCCACCTCATAAATTGTTCTTGGGTTAAGGACATTCAAATCATATGAAATTTTCAGGATATGTTGCAGCTATAGTAAAGAGCCTATGCTAAAATTTTCAACTCTATATCATGACATTTTCAAAAAATATTCAACAAACAAGCGTCAAAAATAGCTCACTTAACAATCCGAAATTTTTTGTGGACTCTCATTGCCTGGATTTATTTGTTTTTTATCTAAAAGAGCATATCAAACTACAGTGCCTTATTTGTAAGTTCTTACTTGTTATGCGGAATAACAGCACGATAAGTTCAATACCTTGAAAATAATGACAAATGGTCATCTATTTATAGAAGTACTTTTATTTTTTATTACAATAATAATGCTTAATTCAAAAGACGAGCAAGGCAGATCTTGACATGCTCTGTCAAACAAAAAAAAGCAATTGGCTACAATGAAGCTTCATTGAGAATTCTAACATGCGCGATCAGAAAAGAAAAAAATATGATTTCTCGCTTTTTCTGAAAAAAAGTATTTTTTTTTCAAAAAGAAAGTGACGGATTAGGAAAAAATTATCAAAACAAAAACAACACTGTTTACTTACTGGTTTTTCTGCATATTTAATTGCCAAATAGAGTCTAGCTAAAAGTAAGTATTTTTCTTCTGATTCTTTCCCAGTTTTTCCTAAAACACAATCAAGTTCTCTATGGCCACGAACTTTATCAAGTAATTTCACAGCATATGCACTTAATTGATCAGCTAAATTCATATATTCATTCTAAATGAAAATAATCTTCATTTAAAATAAAACTCATTCTTTTTTTTTTCTTGTTGTTTACTTTAAAATATTTTTCTTTTGCTGATAAATCTCTTAATTCTCGGCCAAGTTCAAATGCTGTTAATATTGGATCAACTGACACTAAACTAATATAACTTTCACTTGCTAAACCACGATATGCATTTAAACGTGATTGTGCATGACGTAATGAATCAAATTTGAATTTATGATGACATTGTAAACATTTACAATGATAATCATGTGGTTTTGTTATACGATCACCACCAAGTAAGAGTAATTGAACTAAACAAGAAAAACAAAATAAATTAAAATAAATATGAATACAGAAATAAATTCTTATTTACCTATTTCAGTTCGATTGTATTGTGCTGCCAATATTAATGGTGTTATATCAGGTGAAAATTGTGCATCATCTGATGATGGTGTATGCCAAAATGCTTCTTCATCAGCCGTGATAGCTCTTCGTTCAGATAATATTTTAAATTTTGGATGACGTAAACATGCTTCAGCTATTTGTACATGACCAAGATAAATAGCTAATAAAATAGCTTCACGCATTTTTTGCCCATCACATTGAGATAATAAATGTGTAACAACCTAGAAAGCAAATTTTTTTTTTTTCTATATAAAATCTTGATGATTATTCTACTTCAAGGTGTTCATTTTCAATAGCTAATTGCATTGCTGTACGACCTAATTGATTGGTAACATCAATATTAAATTTAGGATTGTCACGAAGAATTTGATGTACTGTACTATAATCTCCATTTTCACATGCACGAACGAATTTTTCATTGATATTTATTTCCTAATATAAAAGAAAAAATAAATTGAGAGGAGGAATATTTTTTGTTTTTTTTTATTTATAGATTTTATTTTTATTTACTCCATTTCTTGAACTATTGCTATAGGCTGATTTATATAAACTATTTCGAGGACCAAGTAATTCAGCGCGTCCACGTATATTGACTTTTGTTAGATCAGGAAAACTTCGATTTTGAATTCCAGTTGGAGTATTGCTACCATTTGTTGCCATTTTAATCTATTTAGCTCATTAACAGTAAACGTTGATTCCAAATAAATATGTATCTAGAAATAAAAAGAATAAAAAAAATGTTAAATTTAAATTTAAATAAATATTCTATTTCTTCGATTAGTAAAACAAAAAAAAGAAAGAAAAACGTCTTATTCAAGCATTAATCTAATTTTTCTTCATAGAAATATAATGTAGAAATTAGGAATTCTTTTAGAACTATTGCATTTACGATAGATATAAAGAGAAAGAAATAGAGAAGAAAAAAAAAATGATGTTCAATCTACCTGAGATAATAAGCAGATGCTTATCGGCATTGGCATACATACATATATATATACTATTATCTTATAAAGACTAATAAGAACAGCAAAAACATACAGACTTTTATAAATATTGAAGAAATTTCCAATAATTTAACCTACTTAACTATTATTTTATGTTATTGGTGTTGTTACTTGTCTCTTTTTCTCTCTCAATCTTTATTTTCTGAAGAAAAAAAAAAACATAAATAAAAGATAAGCCTAGTTTTGCTGTCTTTACATGATTGAGTAAAAATATAATAAACGACATAATCATGCATTCTCGACGAGCATCGATGAAAGTAGAAAAATAGATGAATAACTTCTGTTTACCAATGTGTCTTCCATGTATGATAAAAGCACAAACATATACATAAAAGAGACTGTTCATAAAATTAAATCTAAAAGATTCATTGAAGTACTTATTTTACCAATATCTGTCAAGACTTTGTCAAGAATAAGGTCGACTGCATTTCATTTTTCTCTATGAATTAAACTAGACAAATAAGATAAAATGAAATATGCTAATAAATTTTTTTTAATATAAATCCAACAAAGCCGGAACTAAAAAAGATAAATTTATATCATGACGTCCGTGTGTTTGGCGGAAAAAAACTTGATGTCAATATTATTTATTATGTTTTCTCTTGTTCCATATTGTAAAAAAATGATAAACTAGCATGCCCCTAGTACAATTTCTCAGGTTAAGAAAGTAAGAAGAATATATATATATATATTTAGAATTTATGTATTTTACATAAAATCTTTATAAATTGATATTGAATAAAGTATCAAATTTAAAATTATTTCCTCGAATAAATTTATTCATTATAAGCTAATTTGACAAAACCAAAATTTTCTTCTTGGTCTAATATATTGCCATAAAATATGTTATCAATATAGATCAGAAGAAAATTCCTTTAGTTTGATAGTATTACTGATTCATAATAGTTAATTGAACTTTTTAAAAAACTCTTTGCTAATTATAAATATGCTATTATTCATGGTCATGATGCACAAGCTAGATCAAATATACAAGATTTGCAATAGATGGAGCTAAAAAGAATGCTTCGAAACAGAACCGTTTTTATTTTGAACACATTACACTGTAAATCAAAACAAAGTAGAAATTTATTGATTATGAAATCCATTTCAGAACAATATTATATTTGCTAAATTTCGATTGCTTTTAAAAATTATATAATTCATTAAACAAAACAGTATTATGACCTGAAATTGTCAGCCTATGTTTCTAAACATACATATAAATCATTTGGAATTATTAATCAATTGCTATTATGATTAATAGTATCCGTTCAAAAGTCATATTGCATATATATTTTCACACCGCATGTAGGGCAATAATTTCGTTAGATCATTATTTGAATTTGTTTTCGTTACGATTAATTATATGTCTCAGACAGGAAGTTTCAATATACAAAAATATGTCTAAATTATTCATAAATTTTAGTTTCATCATGAGAAACAAAGTACACTACCGCAAAGAAGGATAAAGTAGTAATAAGCATCAAAGTTAAATAGTTCTAAGAAGACAAAAAAAATCTTTAAAAAGAAAACAATTTATCTTTAGATTAAAGCTCTTTTTCAATAGCATGTATATGAATAGCTCTATGGTTATATCAAAGGCAACTATAAGTTTTTCGATGATTTTTGACTACAGAACGGGATATATGTAGGCTTATATAGAGATCAAAGATAGGATCAATTCGTTTTTTATGGAACCGAATCAAAAAAAGTCTCAAATCAGAGGTGGGAAACAGTTATTTGTACTTGTAATTTTTACACTTTTCCAAATAAAAGTAAAAGTACACGTATTCGTCGGATGAACTTTGTATTTTTTTTTCTTGTATTTCGAACCCAATACTGTCGTACTGACACTTCAGTACAAAAACCTATACTTTACACTTTTGATTGCAATACGAAGCAATGTCTCTTTGCGTATTTGAAATATCTTTCTGAACACTTCACTATTGCCGTCAATGGACGGCAAGTCAAATATTAGAGCTTATTTGATTAAGTAGTTTAATTATCCACTAAATACATATAGATATGAACTTAATAAAAATTAAAACGAATATCGGTCTTCTGTTTATTTCTGAAAATTGAAGAATCTTTTATGTAAAGCATTTTTTATATTTCCCACGTATTACATGAGGAATGATAGATGTTCAATTAGAAACAATTAGCCTTTGAATACATCGGATGGCTTTCAAATGATTCTATAGGTTTGTTTTTTAAAGCAGATTTTTATTCTATACGTATGAAATTTTCTCAATTATTAGTTACAAATGAATATAGATCTGATAAATTGCATTTATTTTAAGTGTAATATTATTAGAAAGAATTTATAATTTTAAAGAAAATTTTCAGGGAGGTCTCAGTCTCAGATATGTTCAAGACATCTTACATCAACATTCAATATTAAAATCCTTTTAGTCAATATTTAAGAAGTCCTATCGATGAGTCGAAAATACAGCAAAGTAATAATCTGTCTTGACTTGTAGAGTCATGGCTCTAAATTCATGTAGATTCTTCTTAGTGCCATCGAGAACTATATTTATCTATGACAGCATGTCGAACAAGCATCATCATTTATAGATACTCATCATAATCTTGAACAAACTCTAACAATTAAAATAGATGATTTCTATAAGTGTCCTGCATTTGAGAAAAAAATTCCAATAATATATGCTTATTTTCATTTTTTTTCATCAGATAATGTCACGATTACTTTGGCAAACTTATCAAAAGTAGTCAACTTTACAGACGAAGTCTATTATATTTATTCAGCAAGTAAGAATATCAAGTATCTTTTCTTGCACTCAAATACGAGTAAAAGTTAAAGAAGCAAGTATAGCTGTAAAAAGACAATTTAAAGTACAAGTAAAACACTTTTACTTGCTGTATTTTTATTCGTTCTATCTCTGCCTCAAACCGAACCGAGCTTACCTAGGTTTTAAAAAATTCAAACAGAGTCTATGTCATCCTGGGTAGAAATAGATCTTTTCTGTTTAATGGTGTGCGTATTATCACACTCCACTGCGTACTTCTGACATGTTAATTGATCACACCACCTTCATCGTATTGCTTCATGCCCGCGGTGAAGGTGACACCACCAATTAACATGTCAACGACACGCAATAGAGTTTGATAATATATACACCATCAAATAGAGAAGGACTATTTCTGCCCGCCTATGTATATCCCATTCTATTGTCAAAACATTATAGTACTCTTTCAACTCAGAGGTAATTGTTCGTGGAAGCCTTTCATGCTTTTCAGGTGTGAGTATACCGTTCCAGTATAGGTTTCATGCTTAATGGATTTGCTGTTTGTCTTCAATCATGGTGAAACATTTTAAAAACAAAAAATATCTTTGTCTAGTAAGTTTTCTTGCGGTCTATTTATTAGAAAAATATTTAAAAGAAAACATGAATCTTACAAGAGCAGAAATAATATTGCAAAAAAAAAACGAGTGGAAGAAGCAAATCTTGTTTTTGAACTGGTCTGTATCAGAAAAGTTCATGTGGTTTGTCTGTTTTATTGAGCATGCTCCATATAAGATTAATTCAAGTAGAGAATCAATTGTATTAGTTTAGTAAAAAGAAGACAATATGCTTGTTGTACAGAACCCATAAAACAAAACCCAACTTTTTATTTATTAAACAAATTATACATGTTTTTCAGCATCATTTTATGATTTTGTATTTTTTGGTGATGCGGATATTTAAAATTTTCTTAATACGTTTCCTCTATTTCCACAACCTGTAACAATTTCAGTTAATTCTTCGTCATCATCATCATCTGTATCTTCATCAGAAGAAAAGGAAATACGAAATTTAACAGCATATGGATTTGATTGTTGTTTTTCTTCAGGTATAATACTTAATTCTATATTCTCACCAGAAATTTGTTTTTGAGCAACAACAGAATTTATTGTTTCTAATAAGCCACGTGATTTTTCATGTTTTTTATTATCACCATAACCAATAATAAAATGAACATCACTATTACGTTGACTTATTGGGTTTTCATTGATAACATCTACATCAGGTGTGGATAAAATTTTGATTGCAGGTATTACATGTTTATCATCTTTTTCAAATTGGGAATTCAATTTTGCTCTTGCATCAGGATTTTCAATTTCTTTCATACTGCTGTAATGTCGATGAAATAGAAATGAACCACCTCTAGAATCTGCATCATTATTTTCATCATCAGAAAAATCATGAAAATCTACTATATCTTCATTTATATATAGTTTTCGAGCAAAAACACGTTGATATCGATCAACAAGGACTGATACAAGCATACCAATTGNCGAGAAAGTAAAAGAAAAAAAAAAAAAAAAGTAAACTCGCGACGGACTACATAAATGCTGTGCTTCGCACCGCATTAAAAAGAAGAATGATATGTTTGAATAATACATGTGACAGTATAAATGATTTAAGCATATACTCTTATTTTTGTTTCTTTTTTGATCGATGCCTTCATACTCTATATCTCCTTACGCGTTCTTAAAGAAGAAATTACATTTATATAATTAAAAATTTGTATAGATTTCCAAGAATTTTTTTTTTCTTTCTATATGATTCATCCTTGTTGTACTTACAAACGTGTAGATGACACAGTAAGCAATTATTATGCTTCTTTTTTTCTTTCTTTCTTTGCAATAGTTACTGAATTGACGTCCTTATCAAGGTTATTGAAACAAATATTTTCTCAGAAAAGTCTCTCATATATACTAATATTTGTTAAGAAAGATTTCATTTTTTTGTGTCAAAGACGCACTTTACAATCATATATATATATATAGGCGCACTTTAATATCAGCATACCCTCGATAGTTTTTTTTTTGTTACTCTACTAAATAACTGCTACAGAGGTTAACTCATTTATTATTCAAAGTTTAAAGCAAATCATGGGCGGATTTAATAGTGAAAATAGAAATAGAATGGATGCAAAATTTATTTGTCAAATTTGCAGCTTAATACTACGAGATCCCGTTCAACTTTATTGCGGTCATCGCTTTTGTGAATCATGTATAGATATTAAAGAAAGGTAATTATTAATTATTTTAAATTTATTAGCTAACAATTAATTACCTATAGAATATTTATCAAATGTCGCCAATGTGAACTAGTAACATCGACCAGTAAGGTAAGATATTATCTTTCTTTTTTAATTTTAAATTTAATTTATTTTCTATATATAGACATTTTCTGATCGAGGTATGAAAAATGACATGAAAACATTAGTTATACGTTGTTTTCTTTGTCATTGGTGTGGCTTATTTAAAAATTATCAAGTAATATCGTTTTTTTTATATATGTATATATTTTATTAATATGGTTTGTTAAGAATCATTTGACTAAAAATCATTCAAATCCATTTACTAATCAAAGTAATAACAGCAATGTAGCCTTTCAACTACGGTCATCAATTGGAAAATTCTATGAAAATTCAAAGAACGTAAAAATTTTAACAACTAATATAGAGCAAATTCTATCTCAAACATCAAGAGATCAACTAAGTATTGAAGAAAAAAGTCCTCCAGGAAAACTTTTTCAACAAAAACAGGATTTTATCGTCCCATGTAATGGTATACTATTATGGAAAATTGATAATATAAAAAACCAATTAAGTAAGTATTACTGTTTATTTGAATTTTCGATTGATAAGTTTTCGTTTAGATGATATGAGATCTATGATAACATCACCCTCATTTTATACATCACCAGATGGTTACAAAATGTGTGTTCGACTTTACGTAAATGGTAATGGTATTGGTCAATCAACTCATGTATCAATTTTTATTGTTCTTATGCGTGGTAATTATGATGCTATACTTGATTGGCCATTTGATTTTCAAGTGATATTTTGTCTTTATGATTTAACTAATCAAAATAATCATATTATCGAATCATTTCAATCTGATACGAAATCAATATCTTTTCAAAAACCTCAAACTGAAATGAATAATGGATGTGGAATTTCTAAATTTATTCCAATATCAGTCATTCAACAAGATAATAATTCTTATATTTGTGATAATTTCACTTATATTAAAGTGATAATTAGAAAAAATCCGATACCGACATGTATTTTACCTTATGTTATGAATATTGATCCTGCATTACCAATGCATATACAAGAAGAAATGATTGAAACAGCGATTCAAAAACATAAACTACGACCATTGAAACTTACCTTAACATTAAAATCATCATCAATATGAACTAAAAAAGAATTTTTTTAAAAAATCTTTATAGATTATTGTATTTTTTTTTTTAAATTTTTCAGGAATATATTATATTCAGTTGTATCTTTAAAACGTATATATTTGATATTAACATGAGGAACAAGATAGTCTGTGATGATAGATGACATATCATTGACTATATGCTAACAACGATTATATCATATAGAAGAAATGTTCGAAAAATTTCGATAATATTATGAAGTTAATATTGAATCCTGAAAATATAGCAGAATTCAATCAACAAATAAAGAACGTAACTGCTTGCATTGTTAGCATAGACACAGCTTAGCCTAATCTGTCATTGAACCTATATCACTTATTTTTCATTACAGCCAACGATTCGAACTATTTACTCTAATCTTATTAATTTTTTTTATAATATGTCTATTAAATTAAAATTTTCAGTTTGGAAGAGATCGATTTTAATGTACCATAATATATTGTGTTGTGTCGAATGATGGCGTCACAATTTTTTCTATTTGTTAAGCCTCCCCCTCCCCTCACTGAAAAAAGTCACTTTTCATCAGAATGGTCGAAATTAAGATAAATGCATAGGAAGATAGCCCGTGATCTGATCTTTTATAAACGACAAAAATTTTTACTTGACACCTCATTTTTTCCAAAAATTTTTGATGATTTCTGTCATCCTCTATTCGAAAAATAAGCAGTTTTCAGAAAGATCAGAAAATCTTTTTCATTTTTTCTTCGTTTATGGTTTCTTCAAGACGCAAACCAAATTTCTCTGTCGATACTCATTCAATGTATTTATTTATTTTTTTGTTTGAAAGAGAGCGTCAAGGCGCAGTGCAGTATAGAGCGCTTTTTTAAATTATATATACAGACACTTACATAACTCGACACCCATTTTTTAAGAACTTTTTGAGTCATTGAACTTTCGATCCCTTTTTTTTCTAAAAAAGTTAGTATTTAAAAAATAGGACTCTCTACTGCACTGTATACTGACATGCTGTTTGAAACAAAAAAAAAATTTAAATACATCACACAGATCTGGACTGAGAAATTTGACTTGCTAAATGAGCTATTTTTGACCTTTGGTGGTTGGCCAGTATCTCCCTCAAACATCATGTTAGAGGGCTGAAAATTTTACCATAACTTTTCCACAACAGCCCCAACATATTCTGAAAATTTCATGCCATTTGCACGTACCTGGGCTGAGATCTTCTAGTCAATGACTATTTTGTGTCGCGCCATCTTTAATAAATAATCAAACTCAGAAACTAAGCGACAAGAGTTAATGTAAGACTGAAATCTATTAACTTTCTCAGAGTTTAAAAATATTTATACACTGAGATATCAAATTAATTAAGTAGAAGAATAGTGGTTTACCAACGGTTTTCTAGCGTTTTCAACAATATGGAAATCAATACGTCGTAGCATCTGAAAATATACAAAAATATGCATGTTCGAATGATAAACTTTTCACTTTCTGCCGTAGTCGGCGGACAAGGAAAAAAAGAAGACAAACAATCGAATTTTGTATGAAGCAATCCTAAGAGTAAACCTTTTTAAAGTGTCCGAATTTTCATACTGGAGAACTTCATAGCTGAAACGAAGAATAAAGCTCTTTGGCCACTGTATTTTATAAGGACAATTATTCATAAGAAAATTTCCCTGAAGAAGAACTCTTAAGCTCCTAGTGCTAGATACCTACTTAGAGAAATAGAGTGAGCGATCACATTCTCAGTTAGATCTAAATAAGTAGTTCACTATTTGTTCACAAAATTTGTGTATCAAAAATAAAAGAAAAAAATGTGTCTAACAAAAAGAACTGACAAGAAAATATGGTACAAATAACATATAAATGTTTTTAAAAGAAATAAAATTTTTCATTAAGAGTTCGAACCAAGACGACTACTATTGTATCCAAGAACCAAATTCTATACACTGAAAAACACACACATTACCGAACTTTTGAGGTTTCGTCCTCCTTTACCAAACTTTTTCAGGTATCGTCCGACTGTAAAGAACCTTTATAAGGTTTTGCTATCAATTAAGTTTCTTGAAAACTATTAGAGTTCTTTCTAGTCGAAAAAGTTTCGTACAACATCCTCTAGAGTTAATGCAGTGAAGAGGTTTCGTACGAAACTAATCTTTTTTCTTTATACCATGTATTACAAAAACACATGTTCACCAATCGGACAGTAAACTGATCTAACTCCATTCCTCCGTTGATGCATTCACATTGATGATGCAATCGGTTTTGGATATTAAATCACAGCTTTCAGACTTTGTGCTTCACAAATGAGAACTTTATTGTTGGGTATCGAACTATGGTTTTTGGGACGAACATCGCATATCCCGTTCCTGGGAACGCCAAATACTCTAACTTGAAAAGATAAGCAAGTATGTTTACAAACCTCGCCATATTGAAACAAAGTTAGAAAAGGCGATGTTGAGATGCGTTCCCGTTCCTAGCAACGGAATACTGAAGAATGGGAACGCTGACACCCACGCTGTGAGTGTGCGTTTGTGGATGTCAGTCTCATCTTCATCGACATACAGACCCGCACCACCACACACACCCACACCCCTCAAAGAGTATAAAACTTCCAAAATTATTGGAAGACATTTGTAGACATATCTATTCTTTTATCTCAAGAGCTATTTTTGTCTATCTGTCATAAGAATCTCACTAGTCAAATTAATGAACCAAAAATCCCTTCATTTTTTAACCTTTTTTCTTGGAGTGTCATATTATTTGCTGAGAAATTATCATTTAATTTTCCTCCATGTCAATACATAATATGTTATTGTTACTAGATTAAAAGAATTATGATGTAATTTTGTGAACATATTCACGTTATCTTACATTTGGTACCGTTGTTTGTTAATGCACTGAATATGATGTAAATGGAATTATATTGATTCGATGTTGAAATAAATTTATTTCAGTGTCGCAATAATGACAACAATTGAGAAAATCGTTTCATAAATTGCCATGCAAAAAAATGTTTCAAATTTTTTCTTATATAGCAGTAGAGGTTATAAGAAAGAATACTTTTGCGTTTCGATTACCTTACGTTATGAGATGTTGCCTAGAAGCAGTTTCATGAGCTCCATATTATCTTCCTTACAGCTAATACTAACTGCAGCTCAGTAAAGAAGATTGGTCTAATACAAAGTTGTCTGGCTTAATCACATGAATTTCGCATACAGACTGACTAATTATTTACTGGTGATTAGATCCTGTGTATATCACAACGTAGTCAAGATGCTATCGGAATGGTGACTCGAGACAATCAGTCCTTACGAATTTGCTCAAGTTGATTCCATGATCGGTGTTACTGATACATTATAAATGATGAAGTTTTCTAAAAGTTTCTCTACAAAAATTTAGTTTGCTATTAGAAATAAAATGAAAAATAAAAAATTATTCATAACTAAAATTATTAAACCTGGTCATTAACAAATCACTGTAATACGATAAATTCACAATCCATTACTAGTATAAACGAAATAGTCAAGTAATATTAGTATGTTTAATAACGCCACAATTTCTCATGGTAATATTCTGTCATGTTGCAATAGTATTGAAGAACAAAGAAAGGGTAAAGTATTTGTTTTCTTTTATTCGTTGGCAAAACGAGTTATGATAGAAAAAATGTAATCAATGCGTTTTTTTTTTCATCCTGCACGTAAGCACTGATAGATAAGAAAGGTATACGCAAATAAAAAACCAACATCAACCGTAATATAATAACATAAAATGACTGAAGATCAAACATCGTTGCCTATTATTGATATAGGCCCGTTACTTATTAATGATTCCAATGATAGTCGTCAACAAGAAACTGCTTTACAAATTCATCAGGCATGTCGTAATTGGGGATTTTTCTATGTTAAAAATCATGGTGTTCCCATGAAATTGCAAGAAGAATTAATTGAATTTAGTCGAAAATTTTTTTCACTACCATTAGAAAATAAAATGCAAATAGCGATGAGTAAAGGTGGTCGAGCTTGGCGTGGTTATTTTCCAGTTGGTAATGAATTAACGAGTGGAAAGTCAGATGGTAAAGAAGGTCTTTATTTTGGTACAGAAATTGATGATGATAATCATCCCAAAGTTCTTAATAGAGTACCATTACATGGACGAAATCAATTTCCTCCTATTGGAAGTGATGAAAATGAATTTCGTCATGTTATATTAACTTATATGACAACTATGGAGAATCTTGGTCGGATAATTATGTCTGGTCTTGCACGTTCACTTAAATTAGATGAAAATTATTTTGATAAAAAATATTTTCTTAATGAGCCTACTTGTCTATTTCGTATATTTAATTATCCAGCTTCATTTTGTCAACAAGAAGGAAATGAAAATTTATGGGGTGTTGGTGAACATACTGATTACGGTATGTTAACAATTGTATTACAAGATGATCTTGGAGGTTTGCAAGTTAAAATTAACCAAAATAAATGGATAGAAGCACCACCAATACCGAACACATTTATATGTAATATTGGTGATATGCTTGATAGAATGACAGGTGGATATTATCAATCAACACCACATCGTGTGCGCAATTTATCACCTTCACATGATCGATTATCATTTCCATTTTTTCTTGATCCTAAATGGGACACTGAAGTATTACCAATACCAATGGAAGGAATAACTAAAAGTGATGATGATGCTGAACATCGATGGGATAAAGCAAGTGTGCATACATTTTCTGGAACATATGGAGAATATTTATTGAAAAAAATTAGCCGAGTATTTCCAAATCTTGCTAAAGAACAAACTATTATTGGAACAAATTCATATTAAATTATTTATTCATCGAATATTTTCTTTTTTCGTTCTAACAATTTTAAACACATATGTAAACTTTAATAATTGAAATGTGATTACTATTTTTTTTGTTTTAATACACTTAGAAATTTTGAATAGCTTCATGTTAAGTATTGTATTATAAAGAGTATCTCATAAGTTCTGGATCTCAACGAAAACTAATTTATATGTAAATAAATAGTGATCCCTATCTAATAATAGGTGTATGAACTGTGAGTAAATTAAAATCTCTAAATCGATCAGTATTTTTTTAAGAAGTTTTAATGAACTATGAATTCATCGTATGTAACATAATACCATTATGTAAAGCATACGTAGTATCTAGATCGCTTGTGCGCCAGGTATTATGAGTAACTATTCGTATCATCATTTAGCTTATATACCAAACTTATTCAAAAAAAAGTGGATTAAAAAGAATTAAAAATGTGTGTAAGGCATATGTTCGATGCCAAGAAGATCAAAATTCAACATGTATAACAACGATTACATAATGAACCATTGATGAATTATTTATTGCAAGAATATCATGTGAAGATAAAAATGTAAAATTTGCAAATGTGTGTACATTGAAAATGTATTGGAAAACAGGATATTATTTTGTTGTTAGATTAACTCGTGCTTCTACTACATAAAATGTGTTTCGTTTTTGATCGTTGAAAATAATACTGGTCAACTTCAAGATTTTAATTATCACATTTTTTTCTGTTAATATAATTATTATTAAAACAGATAATATTATTTAAAATATCGCCTTAAGTATTTGAATCTCATGTAGATATTGTTGAGACCCAGAATATTTTTCATCAAATACGATGATACAAACCATTAGATCGAGAAAAACATAGTAATGGTTGCTGTTAAGAAGTTTCATCTATTTTCGTAAATGAGGTCTTAATCCGAGTCAGTGAAATATTCATGCAAAGCGACATGAGGCCAGTTACTTTTATATGTATTCCGATTATATTGAATTCAGTTGATTCATATATCAGTTTAGCATTAATGGATAATAGTTAAACGAAACATATAAAATAATATTGATTACTAGCGACATCATATTGACTATAAAACACCTATAATCTCAGTATTTTACCACATCAAATAAATATCAGAATGAAAATATGTACAATATATTCTTATTTTTTCTTTATATGCGAATAAAGACATCAAATATGAAGATTTATTGAATTTTGATTGGTCGTTTTGAATTTACCAACATCTGATCTGATTCTTTGTTTATTGCATTTGGTTTGATAATGTGTTAAGTGAACCTCTTCGCTCACTCAGATTTCGATCAATGGAGGCAAGTCATATCTTACACAGCGGTTATTTTAATGAAACACTTCGTTCATGGCATGGTTCAAACACATTACTTAATATAAATCAATTAATCTATCCAGTATTTGTTACTGATCTTGTCCCAGATGAATCGAGCGAAGAAATTCCTAATTTTCCTGAACAACGTCGTTACGGTGTTGATGCCCTCATTGATCATTTATCACCATTAGTTACCAAAGGTTTAAAAACAATTCTTGTGTTTGGTGTAACAAGAAGTGCAAATAAAACCCCAACTGGAGAATATGCATTATCAAAAGATTCATCTGTTCGACGATGTTTACCAATGCTTCGTTCAAAATTTCCATCATTAACCATAGCTGTTGATCTTTGTTTATGCGGTTATACATCACATGGGCATTGTGGAATACTTAAAAGTGATGGTACAATTAATAATCAATCATCAATTGAACGTTTAGCTGAAATAGCACTTAATTTTGCTCAAGATGGTGCTCATATTATAGCTCCATCGGATATGATGGATGGACGAATCGATGCAATAAAAAGAATTTTATTAGCTAATAATTTAGGAAGTTCAGTTGCAGTTTTATCTTATTCTTCAAAATTTGCTTCATGTTTTTATGGTCCATTTCGTGATGCAGCTCAATCAGCACCATCATCAGGTAATCGTCGTGCTTATCAATTGCCTGTTGTATCTGCTGGTCTTGCTATACGAGCTGCTGAACGTGATGTTATTGAAGGAGCTGATATGTTAATGGTTAAACCAGGCGGTCCTTTCTTAGATATAATCAAAGAAGTTAAACAACGTTTTCCTCATCATCCATTAGCTGTTTATCAAGTATCAGGCGAATATGCAATGTTATGGCATGCAGCACATGCCAATGCTTTTGATTTACGAACAGCAGTTATTGAAAGTTTAATTGGAATGAGACGCGCTGGTGCGGATATTCTTATCACTTATTATACACCACAACTTCTTGATTGGTTAAAAGAAGCACCACAATATTAGGTTCTTTTTTATCATATATCTGTTTGCCCCTTTTTTTTGCCCTGTTTGATTTTTATCTACAAGTTTTGACATGTCACGAACGAATTTTGATTTTTTTTCGTTCGTGTCTAGTTTGAAAAATATAGACTACAATTATCATTGACTTAATTTTTAAGAATAATGGAATCTTATAGATTAATCATCATCTATTTTTATTGTGTGGGAATTTATGTCCAATCGACAACAATCACGTGGACGTGGAGGTGGTGGTGGTGGTGGTCGAGGTAAAAATTTGATTGTAAAAAACAAAGAATTTTAATTTTGTCTTTTGTTCTAGGCGGTGGCGGTGGTTTCGGCTTTGGAAATCGTGGTGGTGGATTTGGCAGGGGAAACTATCGAGGTCGAGGTAGTTTTCAAGGTGGAAATCGTGGTGGTGGATTTGGTGGGGGACAAAACCGAGGTCGAGGTGGTTTTCAAGGTGGAAATCGTGGTGGTGGATTTGGTGGGGGACAAGATCGAGGTCGAGGTGGAAATCGTGGTGGAGGAAAATTTGGTGAAGTAAATCGTGAATTTATGACAGATAGTATTTATGTTGGTCAATTACCTGCTGATATTAAAGAAAATGATTTAAAAAACCTATTTCCAAAAGCAAAAAATGTCACATTAACACCAGCTGAAGGAAAAAAACCTGGGTAAAATTTTTCTTCAATATGTTTTTTTTTATTTTGATTAATTGTATTGTTTTAGTCATGCTTTTCTTTCCTTTTCGGATGGTGCTTCAGCAGCAGCTGCCGTTAAGCAAGGAGCTACTTTTAAAAATACTGAACTTAAAGTAGCCTTTCAAACTAAACGTGCTGAACCACAAAAACGAACTTCAAATACCAACGATAATGCAGGTAGTCATTTATTTCGAAATTAAACAGGATATGTCGAGCGATGTTCATAGCCATAAAACTTAGATTAAGAGATGTTAATAGAAATCAGAGCTGATCGGGTCCGAAAATTTTCAGATTTGGATCCGACTGACTGATGACAACAATAATTGGTTAATCGAACTTTGTTTTCGGATGAATGTATTTCATAAATTCTTAATATACAGAGTGGTTCGTAAGCAGGTTTGCGATAGAAAATTTGAGTATTTTTACTCTATAGAGTTAATCTTTTTATTCCGTGCTTGAGAATAGTTCATAGTTTTTTTCCATGAAAACTTTATGATCTTATAGATCGCAACATGAATCTAAGATTATGAATTATATTTTTTCGAAATTGCGATAAAAATGAGCACCGACATGGATAGTCAAAGCAACTGTCGCTTTCATTTCATTGTACTTGCGGAGAGACAGACATCAGTGTCTACAGTAAGAGAGAAAAAAAATCGCGCAATGATATACACGATCGAATATATTTGTGGAAGGATGAATGTATGCATATATGGATCATTTACAGTCATGTTTAACAGTGTAAATGGTAGAAATTCATTGTTAAAACCAATGATGATGCTGGAAAGCAATGTTTATAGATGTTGTTATGGAAAATGATTGGCTCTACGGAGTGTACATATTCAATTTCTTTTATCGTAAAACTACATATGGGAGCACTGTAGTATAAACTTTGATATGTTCATTATATTTTGAAATAGAAAGTACATAGTTTCTTTTAATTTCAAATAGGTCCTAAAGCGAAAAAACTCAAAAGTGATACATTTGAAGGAACAGGACTGGCAGCCAATAATAATATGCCAAAAAAAGGAAAAAAACCAATCGATTCTGATGAAGACGATGATGATGATGATGATGAATCTGTAAGTAATAAATATTCTTTGTTGAAATCATGGAGATAATCTATTTGAATATTTTTTAGATGGATTTTGATGCTGAAGACGATTCAGATGATGACGACGATGATGAATCAGATGAAGATGACGAACAAGAAAAAAAAATTAAACAAACTGTCGCTAAAATGATTGGTGGAGGAAAATCGGCTCCTTCAAAATCAGCAGCTGGTAAAAACGTTGAAGATGATGATGATGATGACGACGATGAATCGGTATGTATCAATTTTAATGTAAATCTTTTACTTATAATTTTCTTTCAGGATGATGATGATGACGACGACGATGATGATGTAAGTGTTTAATGATTGAATCTTTAAAACATGAAATGTGCTTTTTAATTTAGGAAGAAGATGAAGATGAAAAACCATCTAAATTACAAAAAACTACAACACCGTCATCAAAACAATCGACTCCAACTGTTAGTCTAGATAAAACAAAAGGCAAATCACCACTTAATAAATCACCTGCGATTGATAATTCATTTCAGAAAAAAAACAAGCCTGGTTTGTCTATATTACTCAATTTTATCATTTTTATTATATTCGAATTGTTTCTAGACCAAACAGTTTCTGATAAGCCAACATTATCTAAACCTCAAAAACGATCAGTTGATTTTGCTGATAAATCAAGTTGGTTTTGCTTTTTGTTGCTTGTAGATTTATGATTTTATTGCATTCTTCTAGGTCCTCAAGCCAAAAAACTTAAGAATGATACTTCAACTGGTGGTAAAAATATTCCTGTAGTTAATAAGAATGTTTTGAAAGGAAAGGGTAATACATATGATGATGATGATGATGATGATGATGATGATGATGATGATGATGATGACGATGACGACGATGATGATGATGAACCAACACCTAAGAAATCTATCGTTAAGCCATCTGTTACTGGAAAACAAGTGAGTTTCAACAATGATTCTATTCAAATTAATCATTCAAACTTTTAGACTAAACCTATTGCTAAGCCGTCCCTTCAAGATGATGATGATAGCGATGATGACGATGATGATAGTGATGATGACGATGATGATAGCGATGATGATGATGATAGTGATGATGATGAAGAAGAAACACCCAAGCAATCTGTCGTCAAACCATCACCCACTGGAAAACAAGTGAGTTTAAAGAAATGACTACTTCTTAATTATCAACTAATACATTTAGATGAAAACTGCCGTCAAAATATCTTTCGCTCAAGATGACGATGATGATAGTGATGACGACGACGATGACGACGATGAATCAGTACGTAGAGAAGCAAAATAAACTGTCAAGGGTATAGAATAATGTCTTTTGTAAGGCCCTATCAAAAATCGATCCTGACGCAGGCACATTTAAAGCTTATGAAAATTTCAACCCTATACCTTGATGTTTTCGGCAGATATTGAACTAACAAGAGTCAAAAATGTCTCATTTGGGAACCTAAAGTTCTCTGCCGGCCTTATCCTATACATTTATTTTATTTGAAAGATTACGTCAGAACGCAAGGCGTGACAGAACCCTTTTGTTTAAATTATTACTTTTTTAAGCGGACAAAAGCTGAATGTCTCGTAAAACTGTCAAAAGATGACTATTTAATTATAAAAGTACTCTATTATATAATAATAACAAAGATGAGAATAAAATAATGGATTCTACATCCTGACATGCTCTTTCAAACAAAAAAAGAAACCATTGGCTAAAATAAAGCTTCTTGGGCAATTGTGGGATGCGCAATCGAAAAAACCTATATTTATCAAGTAAAAGCTGACGGAAATTTTTGACAAAAAACAAATCACCAAATAATAAATCATATCATTTATGAAAGACCAAAGCTTGGGCTATCTTCTCATGCATTTATCTCAATTTTCAGGTTTTCAACGAAAATTGACTTTTTTGAAGGTGAGTTCTAAATAATGTATATGCCGCCGAAGCCTAAGAAAGTCTTCCAACAACTATCGTAGAATTTAGCTTTCGGTTTCAGTCTTAGCTTTATCAAAACTGGACTCAAAATACTGCTGAAAATCTATACTCTTCATCTTACGACTATCATTGTTTTCTTTTTAGGATGATGACGATGATGTAAAAAAACCAACAAAATCCATCCTCAAGGCAAAACCTTCGAAAGAAGTGAGGAAAGATCAAAATATTTTTTTTCTCAAACAAGTCATACTAACTTTTAGACTAAACCTGCTGCCAAAAGGCCATCAGCTCCTGAAGATGATGATGACGATGACGACGATGATGAAGAAGAAACACCCAAAAAATCTGTCGTCAAACCATCATTTGTTGGAAAACCAGTGAGTTTAAAGAAATGGCTACTTCTTAATTATCGACTAATACGTTTAGATGAAAAATGCCGTCAAAACATCTTTCGCTCAAGATGACGATGATGATAGTGATGACGACGATGATGATGAGGATGACGACGATGAATCAGTACGTAGAGAAGCAAAAATAAACTCTGTGCCAAGGGCCTATAATATAGTCTCTCTTAATCATGATTTTACTTCTAAGTCCGATCTAAGTTTTAACAAACCTGTAGTCAAAATACTCTTGATGTTACGATAGGCATTGCTCTCTTTTCAGGATGACGATGATGATGTAAAAAAACCAACAAAATCTATCCTCAAGTCAAAAGCTTCAACAGTAATAGAAACAAATCAAAATATCTTTTTTCTAAAACAAACATTTTAACTTTTAGACCAAACCACTACAAGCTCCAGAAGACGACGACGACGATGATGATGATGACGATGATGTAAGTTAGTTACTTTCCTTTTTGATATTAGATTTTCATTTATTATTACAGGATGACGACGATGATGATGATGACGATGTAAGTTAAAAGCATATCTTAGCTTTTTTCCAAAGTAAATTTTTGCAGGATGACGATGAAGAAGAAACTGTTTCACCACCACTTAAATCTGGATTTAAACAATCATCAGCAGCTCCTATTACTCCTAAACAAAGTCAAACGTCCAAAACTACGAAATCTGAATCTAAACCAACACCACTACAAAATAAACAAAAAGTTGGAAGTGAAACAACCAAACAAGACACTTCAAATAAACCACTTGATAAAACTCAATTGTATATAAATTCAATAAAAGAAAGTATTAGTGTATCGGATATGAAATCTCTCTATCCAAAAGCAAAATCAGTTAAAATGCAAAAACGAAAAGTTGGTCCAAATCATAAAATGATGCAGTGAGTTTTTATGTGTGGAAATTTTTTATTAGAATTATTTTGTATTTATCTTAGATTTGCTTTTGTTACATTTGAAAATGAATCCGAATGTAGTGATGCATTCAAAGCTCATACACATATTGGTGGTGAAAAAGTTAATATATCTTATGCGTTTTCAAAAAACGATAAACAAACAAAACCAACAGCTACTGATTCAAATATAAATTCAGAAAACAAAAAACAAACAACTTCAGCAGAAAATACAAATAAAAAACAAACAGTTTCAACAGATAATACAAACAAAAAGCAAGAAACTACAGCAGGTTCGTAATGAACATGATTGTTTTTGTTATTTTGTTTGTTGTTTTTTCGTAGAAATGCAAACGTTAACTGATTCAATATATGTTGGTCAATTACCTGAAAGTGTTGAAGAATCTGATATAAAAAAGCTTTTTCCAAAATCAACTAAAATCGAATTACATCCGGCTAAAACTAATAAGAAAGGTGTTCGACCCGGTTTTGCTTTTGTTACTTTTCCTGATGATAATTTAGCAGCTGCTGCTATTAAACTTGGCCCATCATTAAAACTTAAAAATACACAATTAAAAGTTAATTATCGAACAAAACGAACAACACCAACTGCAAGTGAATAATGAAAAATTTTTGTTGTTATCTTCATGGATTGAAGATAAAATGCGAATGTGTTCATTAAAACCGTTCCTGTATTCTTTTTTTTTTTTTATCATACTTACTGTGTTCTACGTTCTGGGAAATAAATAATCATTGTAGAAAGACTAATAATTAGAATGAAACTTGCTCATATATAGCTTTGACACATATATAAGTATCAAAAAATGATTATAATAACGATAATTAGAATTATTGTATAATTACTAGACTGCGCTGATATTCGGTGAAACAAAAAAAATCAAGTCATCGATTTTTTTTCTGAAATTTTCGTAATACGTAACAAAAAAACTGAAAAAACTCATTGATCTCTTTTTTTATAATTGTTTTACATGAAGAACTGTTTTATTTTCGAGTTTGCTATTATTTTCTTTTTGAATTCTAAGTATAACACGTGAGTCACTTTTCGTCACAAACCATTGAAGATATGTACTTTGACTCTATTTTTCTGATTTTTGCAGTTAAATCACAGCAATACTTACATAAAACAGATACCACACACCAGAAAATTTATACTAAATAAAGATTTATTCTATCTATTTTGAAAAAGTCAGTTTTTAAATTTTCCATCAGAACAACACAAGTAGAAAGATCATATATTATCCACGTTATTAAAAATACAAAAAGGTTTTTTGAAGAAAAATAAAACATATATTTTTATCAAAGTGATTTTCATTGTTTTAATGTGTATTCTAACTGTAGCAAGCAAATGAAAATTAAACATAAGTATATAAGTAATAATGACGATTACAAAAGAACAAGATGATATTGTGATATAACGATAAGTATTTGCTTAAATAGGTTTGACAAATATATTACAAACAGTAAATACTCAAGAAATTAGCCGGTATCTTTTTTTCGTTTAGATGATACTAAAAACAAGACAGAAAAAAACACTACTAATAATCTTTGAGATCGAAAGCATATTCAAACTTGTCAATCTTGATCAAGATACTGATGTATCATTTGAATTTCTAGTATCTCATCGCAACAACGTATTTACACATGTTTGGACTCGTGTAGTAACAGCAACTTATCTTCGTCTAGAATTAACACTTTTAAATATGATGGATGAAATTATATGTCGTAAAAATTGAAATAAACATCGATTTGCTACATGTGCGAATAGTCACGATTGAGAGTCTTGATTTCGACTGNCCTCAGGTGCCCGGGCACCCCCCTCAGCCAAAAAACGCCTGGAGGGGGGTACGGGTAAAAGATTTCTTCGGGAAACAAAAATTAATTTTTCTGCTAGTATCTAGCCCCATAATGAGTCGGGCACCCCTCTCAGAAAATTCCTGGGTACGCCCCTGGTTTCTGTTTACTATTAAAACTGATGGTCGAGGGAGGGATAGGATAGCTTCACGGAAGTGCCCGTACTCCCCCTCAGGGGTTTCCAAAATCACTAATACTAGAAACTTCCCAATTTTTCATAAAAAACTATGACCGGAGGAGAGATAGCTTCACGAAGGTCCTGATATCGAGATAACTCTCGACGACACTGTTATCATCTCATCGTCTCAATTACATTATGATCTGTCTTTTTATATGGTGTGATCATCTTTCAATAATCTTTTATTCTATATATGGCGTGATCATCGTTGCATGTGCTATCGTTCAAGAGATGGCGTGATTCTACTAACATATATATATAAGCTTCTTTTTTTTTATCGTTGCTCTTGTTGAACCTATACATCTATTCTTCTTCTTCTTAATAAACTATATAAGCAGTGCTAATAGGTCCTCCTACTACCCCTCAGGGCTTTGCAAAAATTTCGAAAAAGTTCCCGTGACTCACTGGTAGTCACGGCGGTCATATCGAGCACTAGTGATGAAGCATGGATTTATCATAGAGAAATTGGATGCAAGTCACCTAACGCAAACTGAATTTCTGAGATGAGTAGCCAAGGACGCACTGTTGCTGGCGGAAGTCGATTTGAACCAACAACTTTGTTATCTATATTCTTTAAATCAAATAGTTCTATTCTTATGCATAGTGTAGATCAAAACAAGACTATAGATCACAACTATTATATTGAATATTGCTTAAAGTCTATTATCAATGAAATATAGAAACATTGATAAAATTGAATTAAAAATACCTCATTATTTTTATTTAATGTTGTCAGAACTTTTCGCTAATCCTTAAACATTATCCATTTTTTGTACATAGAAACAATACTTTACAATAAGAGTAAAAAACATTTTAATACACTTATCATAGTTTTTAATTGAGCTTGTTTTTCTTTTTGATTAACATATATTGTTGTGTTAAATTGATTTGATTAAAACAATATTTTATTTTTCATCACAAAAATGTGACATTCAATGCTTGTTATTTAGTTAAGTATTCCTCGATAGTTAACTTATTTTTTTATATCAAATTGAATAAAAAAAGAACAAAACCATTTTTTGATTAATGAAAAAACAAATCCAATATAGAAACTTTGGAAATATTTATGAATTTTTGTTTTTGTTCAAAAGTTTTATTTTCAAACTGATAAGATATTCCAATAAAAAAAAGATAAAAAAACGATTAAGGTAAAATTAAAATTTATCTTGCGGGTTCGATTACAGAAATCAGATTGACAACAAGTTTGATAAGCATTAGATGAATACGTATATGCTGTGCATGATGTACCACCTGATCGATATATTGTTCCAATATAGTTTCTTTTCTATTGATAAAAATAATATAAAAACAAATACGATACCACTATAGAAACAAAGAAAACAAACTAACTATACAATAAGTATTTGCCGCAATTGTTCCTGTTGTTGAAACACCAGAACCAAGAGAATTAAATGGATCATTACAACCTGTTGTTCCTGAACATGAATAACAATTAAGAGATTTACACACTTGAGGTAATACTAAAATAAAACAAAAAACGATCTATCGATATAATCTAGAAAAATGATTCACCTATGAGAAGAACAAGTATTATCGTTTGCATCGTATTCATTCCTTATTGACTATTTCTCAAATTTTATATATGTGAACAAAACAAATCAGTAGGTAATTATCAATCAATAATTGATCACAACAGGGAATAGAAATAAAATCAATCTCTGACAAAATTTATCGATTTTATTCTCAAATACTTTGAAACAAATTTATTTTTTCTTTCAAAATAGAAATAGTCTATCATCAAATTGTTTTCATTATAATTCTTAGTCGATAAAAAAAAATCGTTTGTTTTGAGATTTTTTTTCTTTTATTGAGAAAATGCTAATAAACAAAAAAACCTTTCATTATAAAAAATATATCGAAAATAATGAAATATACATATATAAGTCATTAAGCAACTTTCTTGCAAATACTAAAGACTCATGTTTTAATGATTGAAATATTATAATCATTGACTGTTAAATTATATCGTTCAAAACTTTCTATTGAATATGATTCAATGTTATAGCATCAGTAAAGTTTATTTATTTTTGTTTTTTCTTACTTTTTTCAATTAGAATCGAATATTATGTTCAAATTGCTTTACATGTTTCTTTTCATGTTACAATATGAAGTTTATTTATTACAATTTGTATTTATATTTTCAAAAGTAAGCGTAGTCCAATATGAAAGGTGATGTCAGTATACAATTAATTGGGACAAGTTTTTTATATGCTATTTCTTTCGAACGGTTCCAAACCTAGATCTTCAACAGGAAACAAATAAAAGCGGAGGTGAATGTGCAGCAATAGGGGAACATTTGAAAAAATCAAGAGGGTGTACATTCATTGCTGGTAATTTTAAGGCATCTACCAAAGAACAAGCAAGCAAATCATCAAATAGAAGAGGTAGAAATTTGGAAGACTGAAGAGAAAAAAAAGCAATCTTTGTCAAATCCTATGAACATTGCATTGCTTTAACATATACAAATATAAGATGTATACGAAAAAAGATCGTGAAAGATGGTACCAGTGATCACTAGCCAGTTGTGATTGCTTGTGAAAGTATTGATTTTGATAGGAATAAAATGTTTCTCATGTGTATTGAAAGGGATATAAAGCTATTCGAATCTAACTTTTTTTTATGTTCATGGAGTTCTTGAGTATCCTGAGGAAGAATGTCATGTGGTATGGACAGTTTGCTTTTTATAGTATTTGAAATGTACTTCAAGATACTTTAAGAGACCTAGAAACTGAAAAATGTTAGTTTTTTTCCATTCATTCCTTCAATAAATGATTTATATGGTATTTTGAGATACTTACAACATCATTACTATGCATAAAATACAAATGTAGAAAAACTCTGTACTTTAACTTTATTTTTTTTTACAGTTTAAATCAAAACCATCGTCTATATAATTAACCCGATGATACATTATACTTTTCATAGATGGAATCAATACACTAATTAAATACCACTAGATGGGATTCTATTGTAGACGCTTTCGAACTTGAATTATTGAATTAATATGACAAATAGATCATCATAATCATCGGTTACTTATAAATTTTATATTGTTCAATCATTTGAAAAACTAAACTATATTAATAAAATTTACGAAGAAACATGAACATTCATTGATAATATATTTTGCTGTACTGATCATGAGCAGTCTATCGATTAATATGAATCGATCCTTGTCGATCAGACCACTTACATCTATGTTAACTTCAACCAGACTATCTTCAAAACGTCATGAATTATATCAAAATTTGAACAATGAAATAATATATATATATATCAGTTGAGTTTGGAATGTGGAAATTACTTTTAAAAAATTCTGTTAGAAAAAAGTTTATTTATAGAAGCAGAACTTTATAAAAAAAAAGACGAACTAATTAATTTAGACAAGAGTTTACAAAATAGCGTCATACTAAACACTAAGAAAAAGTTTTAAAATGATTTTCCTGGATTTTTTTCTTTTACTGTATTATCAAGCTGTTCGATTCAAAATTTACTAAGAATGATTATGCATTATACATCATCGATTATAGTATTTACACAGCAAATTTAACT